ATTAAAACCTGTGCATGACCTTACGGTGCCCTCTATTCCTTGCAGGATGAAGGAGTAAAGGTATTTGTCCTGCTATATAAGGAGGTAGAGCTTGCCCTGGGCATCAACTCGGCCTACAGCAAGATTTCCCTCATACAGAAGAACCCAGATAACATCAAGGTAGGGGCGGCATCTGTGGGTACTAGAGTGGTTCATCTATGTAATCCGAATAGCATAACAATTAGTTATGGTCCGAGGATCTATTATAGCCGATAACCGGCAACATCAAATAATCATTTGCAGCAACTGATTAGTTAATCGATTATGAAAATACAGAATCAATTATCGTAATAAACTGCTCGTGATGAAAACTTTTGATAACCAAGTGCCATACAAAAAAAAAAGATTGTTGTCGCTGCGCGTGTGTTTGCTGTGGCGGAGCTTCAACTGTTTGTGACATGACAGGTGCTGCGTCACCCTGACCACGCCCCCGGGACGGGAACCTTCCTCTGGGCTCACCACGAGAAGCTGGTGATTGTAGATCAAGCGATCGCCTTCGTTGGGGGACTGGACATGTGCTACGCGCGCTGGGACGACCACAAGCACAGGTAACAGATGAAAACAGTTGCGGTTAACGAGATCATAGGTGAATCATCTGTCGATAGTTAACGTAGGTAAGTGTGTGTTGACACTAACAGTGCAATCGTAGGTAATCCATGCTCGCTAGTGATGAAAATACAGGTAAATGACAGGTGAAGGTCATCTATAATCACTACTCACGGACGATTGTTCATATAATTTCTTATAGCCATGAATCCAATGATTGCTGAATGCTCAATCCAATGGCGAACTTGCTATTGCTCTCCAGAATTATCAACTGCACGGTTGTTTGTCATGTGTCCACAGGCTGACCGATCTGGGAGTGGGTCCACTACTGCCTGCTGGCATTCATTCTGGCCTACAGGGGTCAGGTATGGCTGCCCTACTAGTAAACCTGGCAGGTGTAAGCCTGAAGGCAGACGAGGAAGCAGCCGAGGATTCAGGTGTGTGTCTGATGAATACAGAACGACACTGTTAGACAGATACGTATGTATATACTGAGAGATGGGGGAAGGTAGATTACATGTGTTACAAGTGCTGGATGCTACTATATATGTATTATATATGTATATTTACATGTGTTACAGGTGAGGGATGTGTCATACCCTACAGCGCTGTGCATCGTAAGCCCAGGTCGTTGAAATCTGTCAAACAAGAGGTGTGGATACCAGGTGTGCCAATCAACGTGAGTGTAGTGGAGGCCATCAGACAGCCGACTACGGACATATTCAATCCAAATATGTAAGTAAATGCAAACGTATAAGTAGCGAACATGCGTTTCACTTTCAGGCACTAGGTGGTATGTGTGATTAGCAATGCCTGGCGAGCATGTGTTGACAGCTGTGTGGGTGCGTACGTGTGAGTGTCGGCCTGATATAGTTGTGCGAGTGCATGTGTGCGTGCGTGCAATTGTGGGTGCGTGCATGTATGAATGTGTGTGCGTGTGTTCGTGCATGCAATCATGCGTGCGTGCATGCATTTGTGCGTGCGTGTGTTAGGCATACGATTGTGTGCGTGCGCTATCGACGCTTCCCGTTGCTGTGCAGCTATGTCGTTCAGCTGGAGCATGGCGGCTACAAGTGGGAGATCCGACGACGCTACAAGCACTTCCAGAGCCTCCACACCCACCTCATGCTCTACAAGGCTAACGTCGTGCTGGGAAGCATCGCCAAGATGGGGGCTCAGGAGCGGCGGCCCGCCACCGAGGACTCGCTGCCCAACTTCCCGAAGCAGATCGATCGCGTCGTCTCGCCGAACAAGATTGAGGAGCGAAAGATGCAGCTGCAGACCTACCTGCAGGGGGCGCTGGCATCGCAGCTGTATCGGAACCACCCTCACACGGTGAGGCCCCATGATCAGAATCCCGGCCATCCTTCTTCGATGAGTAGACAGTGACGGAGTTAACCCTAACCTGATGCTAAATTGATCCCCACCAGATCCGCATCTGAAAAACCTGGCCGATATCCACTGCAGTAAATAACTGTTGCTGCCGTTACTGATTTGCATCTGTTCCCTACCCATAAATTTCCGGTTGTGCATGGATCTTGTTTTACGTAAAACGTGTCGATACAAAAGCAAGTTGCCTCTCTGGCCCTACTGTAAAGGGAATTTTTTCCTTTGCACCCCGCTCAAGCTGGCCACAGTGCCGTAAAATTTCTGTTTAAACCCAATGCAACAACATTTGCATTGCCCTAAATAAAATAATTTAGTACAATCGCTTGAGTGAGAAACATGGAGCAGATGTGGTGACGATATAAGCCGCGTTCACACGTAGCAAGAAATCCGGTATTTAGCGTTCACACGAGGCAAAATGCGCGATCCAAGAAATACGGTATCTAAACAGATCCGGTATTTGATGTAAATACGCGGCTTCCCAGACCCTGAATAATTTGCCGTGCTTGAGAAATACCGGATCTCTTGGACCGCGCATTTTCCCGTGTGAATGCTAAATACCGTATTTCTGAAGCCGCGTATTTTATAGACTGGTCCGCGCTCGACTATTCCAGTGTAATGCGAGTGGAACTGTCGAGCGCGGACCAGTCTATGTATTTTATCAGCAGTTGGTGCGCATTGCATTGTTTATTTCGCATTGTTTGCTTGATTGTTTAAAGCAGCTCGCAGACAAATACCGTATTTCTGGAGCAGCGAATCAGCGTGTGAACGCTCGGCCGCGTATTTGTCTCAGATTCGGTATTTCGCAAATACCGTATTACATAAATACGAGGTCTCGTGTGAACGAGGCTATATTCTGCTTCTGTGTCTGCAGCTGGAGTTTCTGGAAGTGAGTCACCTGTCGTTCATCCATGAGCTGGGCAGTAAGCTGAAGGAGGGCTTCCTACGTAAGCGTGGTGGAGGACATCGCACTGACATGTGCCTCAACATGAGAGCCATCCCCGGCCAGTGGCAGGAACGGTAGGTCTGCGTGCGTGCGTGCGTGCCCGTGTGTGTGTATGTGTGCGCGCGTGCGTGCACGTGTGTGTGTGTCTGTGTGTGTGTGTGTGTTCGTGCGTGTGTGCGCGTGCGTGCGTGTGTATGTGTGCACGCGCGCACGTGTGTGTGTGTTCGTGCGTGTGTGCGTGTGAGTGTGAGCGTGTGATGTGTGAGTGTGAGCGTGAGCGTGCGTGCGTACTCATGTGTAGATCGAAGAGCATGGATCTATCATGCTTGATACTGCGATCTAACGCTCGCCTCCACTTTTTCAGATGGTTTGTGGTGAAGGACTCGTACGTGGCGTACATTCGACCGGACGATGGCAATGTGTGCCACGTCCAGCTGATGGATAATGAGTTCAGTGTACTTGATGGAAAATCACAGACCGGCGTTAAAGGAGGACTGAAAATTTGCAGCTTATCAAGGTGTGTGCGGTCGCGTACGCGATATAAGCGCTATGGGTTTGTCCATTGCTAACGCAATATTATACATATATTAATTCATATATGCAATATGCACAATATTATTCATGAATACGTTAAAACAAACATTTTCTTAAAAGTTCTGATTCCGATTTTCTCCAAAATTTTACTACTTACCTGCATTTATCACTTAATCACACGTCTCCATAGTAAAGTTACAATGTAAGAAAAACACTCGTACATTGCTACATCCTCGAATCTATGCAACTATCACAAATTCCATTAGTGGTGGAAGTAATTACATACAGAGGTTAATCAACAAGCCTGTATTGCAGGGAGCTGCTGGTGCAGTGTTGGACGAAGCGTAAGATGAAGGAATGGTGCGCAGACATCAAGCATGCGATGGAAACATCCGGCAAGGACTTCATACAGACTAACAGATTCGGATCGTTCGCTCCCGTCAGACCCGAGTCCTGGTGCAGATGGTAAGTGTTCCAAGCAATCTACGGCGGCACCTGCAACCGTTGTAATATCATTACATGGGATCTCATTACTCTTATAAAGTACGTTATCGGTTGGTAATGACGTGCCCACATTGCACCCGTGTTGCAAACTGTAAGATACCTATAATACCTGGATGTATAGTAATGTCATTACGTGGGATTTTATTGCCCTTATAAAATACATCATTGGCTTGATTGATCATCGATCATTGCAAACCAAGCAGACAGCAAAATGTTTTATGGCACATTGTGTATTAAAACACGTGTATGCACACTGGTATCTTACATTTAAATGTGTTTTGTTTGGTTGTTGGTTTGTTTAATTGTGTTCATCTGCTGCTAGGTTTGTGGACGGAGCAGGCTACTTTGACGCTGTAGCTTCGGCGATCGCTGAAGCAAAGGAGGAGATATTCATCACAGACTGGTGGCTGAGTCCTGAGATCTACCTGAAGCGACCGGCTACACAGTGTGGCAGATGGCGTCTCGATCTGCTACTAAAACGCAAAGCTGTACGTAGTACTATCTCTACTTGTGGTACTATCTCATTGATCGGTCGAGATGCATTAACGAAAGCTGCTTTATTAGGCAAAATGATCGTTAATCGAGGTCGTTATGACATGGTGCTCGTGGTGATGCAGCTGGTGCAGTGCCATGGGATGACGCATGAGTATTGTCAGCATTGCAGCATCAGTGATAGTGTGGTTTGTAAATGTAAGATAGAGTATGGCGAACTACATAGATGGCAGTAGACAATATAGTTAGTTCTTTTCCACTATCACTTGTCTAACTTTTTCTTTATATTTACTTTTACACTGTATATAATATTTTTTTTGATATTTTATTTTATTGAATATTTTTATTATTTTATTGCAAAACAGAAAAACCGTTAAACGAGTCTTCATTAAACTAGATACATACCTAAGGCAAAACAGCTTGCAAGCATCCTGGACCTGCTATTTAGATTAAAACCTGTGCATGACCTTACGGTGCCCTCTATTCCTTGCAGGATGAAGGAGTGGAGCTTGGAGGCAGAGTAAGAGAGAAGAGAAGAGTGAGAGAGAGAGAGAGTGCAGAGAGTGAGAGAATGGAGAGAGAGAGAGGAGAGAGAGAGAGAGAGAGACGAGGAGAAAGAAGAGAGAAGAGAGCAAGTGGAGAGGAGAGTGTGAGAGAGTGAGAAGAGAGAATGAATAGAGATGCTTAGCCGAACGAGAGAACAAGAGCGAGAAGAGAGAGAGAGAGCAGGAGAGAGAGAGAGAGAGAGGAGGGAGAGAGAGAAAAGAGATGAGAGAGAGAGAAGAGAAGAGAGAGAGAGACGAAGAAGAGAGAGAGACGAGAGAGAGAGAGAAATGAGAGAGGAGAGAGGAAGAGAGAGCAGAGAGAGAAGATGAGAACGAGAGAATGAGAGAGAAGACTGTGCATGAGAGAGAGAGAGAGAGAGGAGGATATTAACATTCACTCATATGACCATCGGTAGGTAACCCATGAGAATAAACAATGCTCAGGCAGCACGATGCGACAACTTTCAGATGCTTTCGTCACAGAGACAGAGAAAAAGAACCAAGGCGGGCAGTAATGGTTGAGTCCAGTGCAAACAACCTAAACAGCGAATGTGGGTACATAATAGATATCATTACTCCTATTACTCCTTATACACAGGACGTAGAAAAAAAAGTTCTGTTTTCATTCCTGATAACAATTATTATGCCATAGAGGTGTTGGTATAATAATTATGGCGTGTATTACTGTTTTATACTCATCCATTTCCATTATATTTAAATAAAATGATAACGCTAACCTTCCAACCACTAGATACCTTTCATATATATTCTAGCTTCCACGTTATTATATGTACCTCATATTCTGGTATGATTTTATATTGATCTGAACTCACATACAAATCGAGCTTTCTTGTACTGTGCACTGCTCGGGAGTGGTCAGTTCAGCTCACTGACGCCTTCGTATTCTGTTTTTTTCTTTGCTCCGTGACAGCTCGATGCTTGCACAAAGACAGCCGCAAGAAGCGTTTGCCTGTTCAAGGTCGTTGGAGGCGGACGATTCCCCGCATGGAACGGTGCGTGCTGTCCTTACTCGTTTACTTTCGCAACACTGTGCGTCTTCTCTGTGGGAGAGGCACCGATGCCTCCTTCGCCGATTTGTCATCACCCTGTTTCCTCGTATTTCCTGGAGGAGAGCTATGTTATTTCCTTTATCATCCCTGTTTGCCTTATCTTGTGGGAGAGGCGTCACAACGCTCGTCAGTACTACTCAC